GGCCGAGCGAGCTAACGCGTGTGAAATACAGGCGTTGTTCGGCTAACTGATGAACCGAAGTTTAATTGATAAAATAATTACGTGTTCTGGTATTAATCCCCGGCCCTCTCTCCTGGCTCGAAAAAAAAAACGTAAATTAAAAAAAGGTGAGGAAGTGGAAGACAAAAAAAAAACTGACCTGAGAGATTTGAAAATTTTCGCACATTCCTGGCCTCTATCGAATTATCACTCCCACTTTAACTAGAGATAATTTCTGGACTTAATTTGATTTAACTTTGATTGTAAATATTCATTAAATTGAATCCTCCTGGTCCAACAGGCTAGGCCACCTAGAGCTATAAAATAAAAAGTGTAAAAAAAAGCAATTGGGTTCCAGGACAGGTGTTAGAAGACCACAGTTATTCTAGTTGGACCGTAAAAATGGATGAAGTGCGGTTAAACCACGGAGACCTCAAAGTTTCTTTTCGTAGCCGTTGTCCTTATGGGCTCGCGTATAATGACAGCTGTAACCTCCTCTTTGTTTTAATTTAACTAGCGATTGTAAAATTTTTGTGGTACTTGGACTTCTGTCAATTTTTTTTTTTTTTTAGCAAAATATCCGTGAAGTGCTAATGTGCCGTTTAAAAGAAGCTTTTAAGGAATCATAGACTAACTCATAAAGAATAAGTCGAGATTATACTCAGGAACCCCAAATTGGTATATAAATACAAGGTACATACCTTTAAGTAACGGCAAATATTTAAAGTGGCGATAGTGGGCCTCAGAAGCTACAAAAAAGTTCATGTAGTTCAGTCTTAGGCCCAAGTCCTCACAGAAGAGCACAATATTAAAACTTCTTTAAGTGTTACGTTTCTTGTTGAATAGAAACCTTTAATTTAAAAAATATATTATTTTTGTGATTAACGAAGAAATCGTTTAATGATATTTGTTTTCATGGATCCCGAAAAACTATTTTTTTTATCCCAATACTAATATAAAAACCAATATTTAAAAAAAATGATAAATTAAGAAAATCCTTATTTGTAGCACATATTTACGAACTTTTAAAAAATATTTTAATGATATTTAAAAACCATTCTAAATTAAAAAGGCCTCTTTTGGAAAGAATTAAGCTTCAAGATCCGTTCTGGAACAAAAAAACGTCAATTGGAGTACGAATTAGGGGGGAGAGAGGGTATGATTCGTGAAGAAAAAATTATTAAATTTTAACTAAAAAAATTAACTTTCTGTTTACAATAATGGATAATAAAAAAACATTATTAATCTTCATTTGAATAAAACGGTGTAAGAGCTTTTGATGACGTATTAAAAAAAAAAACTTAAGATATGCAAATATTGCATCCCTTGAAAAAGTTCGGTTTTGGAAAGAAACTTATTTTTAAACCACTTGTTTTAATATTTAGATTCATTTTAGAAAAATAAAATATTGTACAATCGGATTCATTGGGTGTTATTACATAGACATCGACATTCTAAATAATCACATAGGCTTCACTTTGCAAATAAGTTACTCAAATACACCATATTAAATTAGATAAAATTAACTTTAAATAGAAGTTGAATTCTTCATTGCTAAAAACATTTTAAGGTATATTTTGAAAGCCTAACTTCTTTTTTTCATAAAATCATAGACTTGTTGCGATTTTTTTTTTTTTTTTTATTAATCTTCTACTGGATCACAGGTGTCCCTTCCCACTTTTATAAGTAGTTGTTAGTAAGCATTAAGTACTTATTTATTGAGTTGAGGTTGGTAGTAAGGTGAGATCATCCTTCAATTTCGTAATGATAGTATGTGAAGTGTAGTATAACCTGATTTTTACTTAGATGATTAAAAATTCCTACAGCTCATTTATAACATATTCTTACTGAGCCTCATTTCATACCCAACTGCCAGGTATACAGTATATAGATATACTAACAAAGGGGTAACACTATGCCTTGCCTTACTCATCTTCCCCATGGGCTTTGTTTTCAAAAGGCGGAGCCGAATGTGGACGGAGGACACAGAGGTGGAGGAATAAGAGGTGGTTAATGGCCCTGGTGTTTGTTAATACGACCGTGCCACGGCCGCCAAAGAGCTCTTTGTTGACACTAATGCCCTCAACAAACTCCTTTGATGAAGTACAAACAGCAAACCATCCGCTATCAAAGTGCCATTGGTCCATTGACGGCTGCCATATGTTAGTCTGTTCTTTACGGAAACGATTATTGATGTGGTTATTTTTTCAGTTGGGACACACCTCAAATATCTACAACATCGACTTCCTCCCAACTTATTGTACAGAAAACTTCGTCAATGAAAAAGGAATAAGGAAAACTTATTGTTTGTAAATTCTATAAATGTTTTTAAAACAACGTTCAATGGGATGTCTTTATTAACTTAAAATTTAAATTTATCTAAATAAAAATATATGATTAAATGTTGTTTTCTTTTAATCTCAAAATATTATTTACTCAACCAAAATCATAACATATTACTTTCACTCTTCGACTTGCCCTCCTATTTCTTAATAATGCCGAAATTCATCAAACAGCCAAAACGACCCACATACGAAAACTACAAACCTTTCAGTCAAAAAATTTTAGAACTATAACTAAAGCTCCATGTCACGTGACACGCATTACATCACATAAAAATCTAAACATGCCAACAGTTAATGACCATATACGGACATACTATATAAAAGTTCACAATAACTTATATGGAAAAAAATAAAATAAATAAAAAAATAAAATAAAAATATATGGACCTAACACACCGATACAAGACATGGCCACAATTAATATTCACGAAAACACACTTCGGAGGCTCAAAAGAAACTGGTTGAGGGGATTTCCTCACCTAGACTATACTACGCTAAATTCAAGTCAAGAAGAGATGCCGCTTGGCAATTTCACCTTTTCCACCTTTCCCTCACGCTGATCAAGTCACTATAAGTATTTTTTTCCGACAACAGACTCGCTAATTGTCAGTACTTCTGACATTTGTGGATAAAACAAAAAAAATAAGACTTAAAAAAAATATATCATTTCGATATTCTAAGTAATCTACTATCGTAATAATAATAACCAATAAAAAAAATTATTACTATAATAACACTATGCTCCGTTTTTTTCAGCGTAACACATTGTTTTACCCACTGAGAGACTTTAACGATAGGTCATGGATCGAGAGAGTACAGAGACTTCGATGCTTGTGACTTTCAGTGACTTTAATGCCAATGAAAATTCTAATTTTCTGATAGTTTATCTGTTATTCGGATTCTACAAAAGAAGTTTCATGAACAAATAAAATATTATTATAATTTTCATGGGGCCTCAATATTATTTCGGTCTCAGTACATTGATATTTTTTTTATTACTACTTTTGAAAAAATTTATGAAAAAAGACCAAAAGGTCAATTTCTGTGTTTTCACAGATTTCCTTAAAGTATGGCATTTTTTAGAATTTTCATATATATATTTTTGTTAGGACACGGTTCAGTAGCACCATTTAAAATGTGAGTTTTCTATGTTGAATTATTTTGATGTAGGTATTATTCATCCGTATCCACATCTTTTATATTAATAATTATGGTTCTTATGTTTTTATTTTTGGGGAGGGAGGATTTTTACATTTAACTAGATTGTATGTTGACGCATTAATAAGTTAACTTGCTTACCTACTTCATTTGTTAGAAATGGTTTTATTTACTAAAGAAATAAGTTGTAAATATTATATTTATATGTTTATAATATCATTGTGAATCTGCTATAATCGCACATAGATCTGTGGCATTACAATTAATGGCGCAATTAGTTAAACTGAATAACACTTTGACAAGGATATCCGTAAGGCAATCATGTGAGGTGAGTTATGGCAGGTATTCAGTTCAAAAACTAAATCAATAAGAATTTGCTACAAGGTTAATCGGCTACTTACCCCTACTAGAGACATAAAGGTGTGAATTACCCTCCAATCTATCTCTTATGCAAATTCTTCTTGTCTTGTTTATAATAAACTACAATAGGTCTCTATAGCCCACGGCTCTCTTGACAAGACCTTCAACGTTAGAAAACATACCTCGACCCATAAAGTGTATTAGCGCATTGTCTTTTATAATGTATCAATCAAAGGGAGAGTACTTACGGCGGAAATTAGTAGCCAGAGTAACTTCCTATAAATTATATACCCATCCGAATGAATCCACTGTTTTAAACGGCCATCATAAAAATACATCTGATCTTTTTAACATGATGTACAATATTTTTCATTGACGACCTTGGTAAATAATCCCAACGTCTTAGCATCAGTGGAGTTCCAAGAAAGGTCACTAAGTTCTATTCCAGATGCCAATATCCAGAAAATGCAATAACTTACTTACTATACTTTATAGGCATTCTATCTATGGGTTGCCTCACATAGTCAGCGCAGAGCTCCACGTGCTTCTATCTCGCCAATCATCTTCCTCCAGACCTCGAACTGCCATTTCCTCCTGAATCCTTTCCATCCACCTGCTTCTGGGCCGTCCACGTCCTCTCTTTCCTGGCGGAACCCAATCCAGGACTCGGCTCGGCCAAAATTCCTCCATCATTTTTCTCACATGGCCATACCATCTTAGGCAGCGTGCCCCGATCTTTCATTCCGAAGCGTATACCAATGCAATAACAAATCTTAAATTTATCCTTCACTTGATTCATCAGGAAGCTTATGCATGTTGAACGGATCTTTTTTGTGAAAATCCGAATATCGAAGTTTGTAGCAAAATTATCAACTTAAGGTTTCTGTTCTATTTTTTTTTCTTACCCTCCAGCGATTTTGTTGCCTAAATACAATATGTACATATAAATATACTCGTGCGTACATTTTCTTGATACGGTATTTTCTATTTTTAATATTTTATTTTTATTTAGTATTTTTATATTTTTATTTAGTTCTAACATTCTGTAAATATTAAGCTAGCTACTCAACAAAACATTACGAAAGAATAAAAAAACCAAGTGTTCTTGTTCGTTTATAGATGGGTTTTACATCGTACCCAACTATCCAAAAACTCGCTGTACTTTTAACTGAATTGCCCAGACAGAATCTCAGAGTAGTACAAGGAAGATAATGATGAAAAATCCAGTTTGAAGGCTCGTTGTATTATTTCTTGGCTAATGGCACTTGTAATAAAGCCTCATAGTTTATGGTTTATCGCCTCTATAAGCCCTCATCATGATGGTAAATGTTCTTGATGGTTTGATTTGATTTAACCCTATCACTGTCTTCTTTACCGTTATGAGCCCTTATCGTATCAACTTCTGCATTCTTGGAAATTTTATTGTTGTATCTTTTTGTTTTATTAAAGATTAAAAATTATTGAAAATCTTCGATTATGAATATTACACTCCTAATATTTTTGTTTCAGGTTTCTGCTTCGGATCCAGATTGCGGTGTGAATTCCATCGTCAATTATACCATCGGAGGAAGACCGTCGCAGTTCACTGTAAGGTCCGACTCGGGAGAAGTCTGCATATCGTCACCTTTGGACTACGAAACTAGGCAATCTTATGAGTTTCCCATTATCGCTACAGACAGAGGTAAGTTCCCTCGTACTGTTTTACCACATTTATACTAACATTTGACAAACAGTCATTTTGAGTTGAAGATAAAACTCTTAAAATCGTTTAAATATTTCATATCTTTTCTCTATTTGTCCTGAAATATGTATTATGTCCAAAGGTTACTCGCCGCAGCACTGCCAAAGTTTTATTTATTTTTATTAAGAAATAATACATTCTGCCTTACTTAAGGAAGGGCATTGAGTGTTAGAGTGGTGTGAGATTCATTCATACCGGAAATGCAAGAACAAAAACAACAGAAAAATTATAACAAAATAAAAAAAATAAAAAAATGAAACTTGTGATAACATAAAAATAAATAAAAATTTAAAGTTCATAAAAACACATTCATACTTATCATCAAACTTTATATTTCAGTAACGAGAACACCTTTTCACTTATATTTATAAAAATCTGGTCGGTGGTAGGTGTTAAATAATGGGGCTATTACGCGAAGGGATACCATGGTGCCATCTTCTATTGTCACGATGTGGACGGAACGTGCGGTCAACCATCCAACTAATGACGTTTCTGAAGTGGACTTGGCAAGGAAAGAGGAGTTCTTTACGAATCCCCCATAATGCTACTTTCAATAATTGGTATCAGTGTATCTGATAACCACTAGCGGATCCAGGATTTAATTTTGGGGGGAGGCCTCAGCCCGAAAGCTTTTTTTTTCATAAAAGTAACGATAATTACTTTGGAAAATACGAAAGAAACTAAGTACCTATACGAACTGGTGTTTAAGTGATTCCTAAAACCCTTTTAAATGTAATTACACGAATAATTATACTTTAAGAGATAATTTTTTAGTATTTTTTCCGATAAAACATGCTTATATTTTACCATTTTGGGGGGGCTTCAGCCCGAAAGCCTCCCCCCCCCCCGTAGATCCGCCCGTGCTGATAACTAACTATAAAGAAAAAATATTTTAAAAATAGATTTAAAATTTTCTATTATAATTATTCTATTATAAATTTAAAATAGTGGACTATAATACGGTTTAAAATGGATTACTTAAAAATAAATTCATCTAATTCCTTAGTTAAAAATCGATAAAAATCCAAAACAATCTAAAATATTTTTTCTTTCTTTTTACTCCTATCCTAAAATGTAAACCACGTCCAAGCGATGTCTACCTATATCATTACTGTCTGTATTGATATACTAGTGGTTGTAACTTGAATGCCTTTACACAGATTGACATTTTTAGAAAAAAAAAATAATAAACCTATTTCTCAATTAATACTTATCTAAATTTCATTTCTCTCTGTTTCAAACAAACCTATTTGGACGTTTGAAGAGGAACTAGCGTTGCCCAAAATCGGTCTTGTTCACTTGCCTGTCTACATTGCTTTAGTTCACCAAAAAAACCGTACTCTAATGATTTCTCTGATCGGTTATCATTAAAATTAGTCTAGTTCGATTGTGTTATTTTTAATGAACATATTTAAAATTGAATATTATAGACGTATCCTGTCTATCACAATCTTTCTTGAAAATGCCTTTAATGTATCGTCAAGTTAATTTTATTAATTTGGTTGAACTTAACTATGTTTATGTTAATAAAACATCTAAATGTACCTATACTGTAGTGTTTTTCTAAGATCTAAAGTAACATGTGTAATACATAGCAAGTAACTGCAAGACTTATGTGAGACTCTTGCGCAAAACCAAGCCCTAGATTCTTCTTGTTCTTGCATTTGCAGAAGAACTTTTGAATGATCATGTGAGGAATATAAAAGTTGCGATAAAAGATGTTATAACTGTTAATAATTATTTATTGGCCTTTCGCTACCGAAAGTAAATTAACAAGCTCTTAAGAGAATGTAAAGGTTAATACAAGCAAATAATTGAATAAGCGAATAATTAATCAAAATCCGAGGTGGAAGAATGTCAACAGAGAGGAGGATCAGGCTGGCCAATGACAGCGGACATTTTATAAAAACAGATTGATGACTCTAGCGAAGGCTCTGTTGAAATCACTATTAAACCTATTAACTCTGTTTTAATTAAGCTAACAGCAAAGCGTCACCGCTCCTTCTCAAGTAATCTCCGCTTCCTCTCTTGTATTAAATATATTTACAATATAAATATTTATTATTTAATTTGTATGTAATTAAACGTAGTCTTGATTATTTCCGAAATTTTTAAATAAATAGAAAAGCTATTCAACAATTATTTTATGGTCTACCGCATGTTGCTTTTATTGCTTATCTCATAAACTTCCTTGCGTAAATTTTGGGAATATTATTTAGTTTGTAAAGAGCTTTCTGCATTAAAAAAAAACTATAAAAAACTACTATTTTCTCTGAGGATACTGTGGCAATCACCTCAACTTCGTGAATAGTTCATCCATAACTTATTTTAATACCCTATGCTACAGAACAATCACAATTGATACACTCTACATTCACCAATACTAAAATTATTTATTTATCTGTTTTATTGTTGCCTCTACCCTGCAGGGTCATTGGCAACACTTCCTATTTATATTCTATTGTAGAATTTTATTATTTTTAATAATTGTAAGGTTTTTCCCACGGCGTTTTCTTTGTCGCTGAGGTTTTCTTTTAGGCTCTGAGCCATATCGAGATTTTTCCTTACATTCTCAAATACTGGGCAGTCTTGGATGATGTGTTGAACAGTTCTTTCCACCTTACAGGTCTCGCAGGTCGGTGGAGGGTCTAGCCCTCTTAGTAAATAGGCATGTGAAAATTCACAATGCCCAATTCTTAAGCGGCAGAGGACTGTCTATTCTTTTCTGGAGAGTCGGTTGCTAGTTTTCCATTTGGAACAGTGGCTTTTTATTCCTTTTAATTTGGTTTCTTTTTGTTGCCATACGTTCTGCCACATTACCCGCAGTACGAAAATTAATACGCAATGTTCTAAGAAAGTCGCAGTCTTTTGTGGAGGACAAAGTATAAAATTTACCCCAAAATTTTAATAGTTAAAAAAAATCTCTTTATAATGCCAATAGTTATACCAATTCTGCTACCAATGTATCTGATTATATATTAGGTGCTGTGTGCAACTATATAGGTTAGAGGCACCTAGAAGAGATCGTGTTTTTTTGTTTTTGTTTTTTTAGGTTTGTGTATTGTTAGGATATTGCTTTAAAGATTGTGTTATTACAAAAGCATAGTTTATTTCTGATTTACGTTGTGATTGCGTGTTTGAAGATTGTATTGTTTAAATATGTCTGTAGTAATTGTGTTTTTTCAGTATTGCTTCTGATTTTCTGGTTGTAGGTCTTGTCGAAATCCTAGCAGGCGATATGAAGTCCTTGATAGATCCAAGAGCTAACAATTTTCTAACTACCAATTTAAATAACTGAAAAAATCTCTAAACATTTAATTTGAAAATTTACTATGTGTTTATTTAGTTAAGAATTATTTTAATCTTTCCAAGCATGTAGTTTGAACATTTCATTTAAGTACCAGTTGCGAATGCCGACAAAATAATTCTCCCTTCTACTCATACCATACCCCATACCAGAAGTTGAAACTTTTAATGACTTCTGTGAAACGTTTTAGAAAAAACAGTCTATGAAACTTTTCTTTAGTATAATTCTTGATTTATGGTAAAAGTTTAACTTTTATTTATTTAAAGTCTCTGTGTTTAATGGGGAATAAACAGTAATTAGGTTTGAATTACAGTTATAAATCTAATTTGTCGTTTGTTTGAGTAGCTAATAACAAAAGTAATTTTTTAAAATATATTTATGGCTTGCTTCAACAGAACTTTTGTATAAACAGATGTTTACAGAAGTTTTGTATAAACTTTACTTGAAAAAAAAGGGAATAAGATCAAGATCCAAAATAACAAAAAAATAATTGAAAATGAAGATACCAATAATACTGAAACTGATTAAAAATTAATTTTAAGCCTTTATTCAAACACATTCGATCGATGAAATCCCAATTTCTTTTTTATAAATAGTTATTGGTTTAGTAATTTAAGTAAAATGTTTGTACTTCATTTTCGCTGTTTGAGGTAGATTCGCATATCTCAAATCTCCCAAGTTTGTGTATTTATGAATTATTGGATTTTTGACAACCTTCCTGTCACTTGCATTTCGACATCTGTTGTCTACAGAAAAACTAATTACGGCTCTAAAAATAACAGTACGATTGTCTTTATTCAATCCTATTTGGACATTTCAGCTACGAAAGGATAATCAAGAAAATTGTTGAATTTTCCGTAAAGAGCATTACTCCATCTAAAAAGAATCACGGTATCACGATGAAAAACAAGCTTCTTATATAATAGATGTACGTCTCTCACAATATCCCTAAAAAACAAAAATTAATGGTCTGGATCAGAGTTTTTTAAAATCACCTGCAACCATTATGCACCATTATCTTTCACTAGGAGAAGGCAATCAATGATAGAATTGAAAGATTAAATACCCGATTCAAGCAGAAATATTTGGTCATTGACGCTTCTTTTTCAAATGATCGATCTGTGATAATACCGAAGAAAGACAGCGGGGGCGTTGTTTTTAGCTTTGGGAGGCCTTGGACACCTGCTGAGGATTTCGGTCTCTAATCTCTTCGGGACAATACATCACTAATTATCTGTGTCGTTAATGTATTAATCAACCGACGCCTACGCCCCAAGTGACAGGCCAAGCGCTATCAATACAAGGTGGGATCCAGGAAGCAGTTGCTATCGTGGAAATTCAATGTCACTCCTATAAAAAGTTATTTCATTTCATGAATGGCACAAGAAGAAACTTCAAAGTTTCAAATTACAATATTTCACTGTTATTTCCGTACATTCCGTCCATTCTTATTAATAGTCTAAAGTACCCAATAAAGTAAAAGCACATTTTTGTATTTTGTATTTTTGTATTGAACAAAACGGTCACTACTATCGGCTATAACAGCCCCAAGCTGCTGAAGACAATCATCACTTAAAAAGTCAAAAGGCGTAGAAAAAAATATTTTTTGTATTTTCTTCTTTCTTCTTATATACTGCCAACATCTAGCTTAGAGCTGAGTTGAATAAATCTCATTTTAAAAATTGGTCCTGTGTCTAAAAATAAACCTCCTTAATAATAAACGTCGATTAATAATAAACCTCGTTAATAATAAACCTCGCTAATAATAAACATCGAGAATTAATCTAGTTTTAAAAATTATGATATGATATGGGTTTAAAGAGTTGTGTAAATTGAAAGATAGTGAGATACATATATTTATTTTATCGTCACTGGAGCTAAAGCCAGCGGAGATTGATCGAAGCGAGGAAAATTATAGATCATATACAATTACTTTTGCTGTCCTGTATTGTTACTCGGTTTTCTCCATTGAAAGCTCGTACTATAATTGAAACCTCTCAAAAATATGGTTCTCTACAAAAATTCATAACCCCATGGTAATGTGCTTTTCTCAAAAATCTTGATGATGCAACTTGTACCATGCATCCCCCTGCGGTAAAAGTACTTGATAAGTATTTGATGTTTATTGAATATAACATTCGCATTATAATTGCCCCATAATCCCAATTCACACATAGTCTTTTTTTCCCTTGTCATTCCAAGTTCAATTGTTAAGAAAAGTCCAGTTAATATAAGCGGTTAGTCTACTTATCTTCATACCACGCTCGATCCCGAAATACTGCAGTAAATTCCTTTCGTAATGCATAAGAACTATTCATTGACGTTCTGTTCATAAGTACTATCCGAAAAAACGAAATGACTCTTCCGTATGTTTTACCTCATGTCCTTTTGAACTTGCGGTCTACACCCCGACCCCTGCTAAGCCGAGACAACTACTCAAGGCCCATATAATAATATCCTTTATGACGGACGGAGGATATTGCAGGGGACACTAGCCTAGCTCTGGAGCCTCTCCCCAATAGCTACGTGAAAGCAATAAACTGTGTAAAGATTTCCTGAGAGTCACGTCCAGAGCCACATAAAGCAAACAGGATCCTATTAACACAGCAATCCGATCCTACCCTCTTCCTATCTCTCTGTTTCTTCGTTCTAGTCTTCCAGTCCCTCTTTCATGTTTCCATATTGTATCATATCATAATAAAAAGAATTGGTAATATACTTCGGTAATTCCATTACTAACATTAGTAAATGAATAAATAGCGAAGCCTTGTTGCATTATATGAGATTATGATCAAGAGTGCAATCATAAGACACTTAATCATGTTTTCCTCTATAGTTCACAAACCCTACCCTATTGAAATAAAAAACAAAAAACAAATATAAAACAAGGAATGGTTCACCTTCTCTGTCGTTCCTCGGTGCCTACCAGGAAGACAGTAATCGAGGAAACAAGGTCTGTTTTTTCAAAACATTTTTTTGCAGGTCACCTATTCGGTATCTGATCTCACGCCAACACTGCTCAGAACTTGGTAATTTATGAGATTGAATTCGTCTGATAAGTCTTTTTCACCTGCAATTGTTATTAGTCATAGTAGTTATCGAGGGTGGAACGGTTGTGCAATTAGCGATCAATTATTCTACTCAACGGGAAGATGTGGGCTGTAAATCTCCATCGGATTAGACGACGAATTATATAATGAAGGCGGCGGCGTATTAAACGGGTGAAGGACAGAACAAGATACCCTCGATGCAGCGATTCATTCCGCATCGGCCTTATCTCGGTATTTGTTTTGTTTTTTGAAAAGGAATGCACAACATATATTGTAAATCTGTCCAGTCCAAAGCCGGATTAGGTCTACTTGGAGTCCGAAAAGAGAGAGATTTAAATTCATAACCAAGGCTATACAAATAATTTACTGGGTGGACAAATCATTCAGGATTATTTTTAATTATGTCTCTTAATATTCATTAAATTGAAGGCTTGGTAATGTATTGCAATGGATTTCTGCTTAAAGTAGTCTTATTTTTTTATATTAATATGATCCTCATTCTAATAATTTCAACAATAGTTTTTGATGAAGCTGTTGATTGTTCATCATCTTGAAATATTTAAAACATCCTTTGCAAATGGCAGAGGTTAAGACAGCCGAGTATAATCTGTATAATAAAAATAATTTGAGATAGTAAAAACAGCAATAAATAAACTTTTGATGTCTAAAAGGAATCCATTATTTTTTATCCGTAAAACGGGAGTATGTTACACCTTAAGGGATTGCATTAATTTAAAACTAGAACCATTTCTTAATTTTAATTTTAATACCCCACTTCCAGAAGCAATGTTCTGTTTTATTTAGAACTAAAGTCCAATTTCGTAAAGAACCTAATCTCAATTCCATTATTATGTCATCAAATGAATTATTCTGTTTTTGACTAATGTTAAGTTACTTTCGAGGTGTGAAGTTACCTCGTTTTATGATAGTGTGTTGGTGGTTTCTATCCGTGATATATATAAGCAATTAGTGTTAGTGTGAAGGACTTCATTCTTTGAACTTTCAAAACGAATTGTTTATCAGTGTCAGATTCTTCAAGAACAACTTTCAGATTTATAAGAAATGTGATGAATGTTATGACGTTAAATACTGTAAGATGTGAGACGAGACTCCTTGTATCTTTCTTCTCTACAGTTTATTAAGTTTTACCTCAAAAATTGCATTAGAACTTCGTTTTTTCCTCAACAATGAATTGGATTTTATCATAAATACTAAAGCTTATTAGATGCAAAATTTTCCAAGAATTTAATAAGTCTCATTCATAGCCAGTTAATCTTATGGAAACTAAATAGACCCAAACTCTTGGGATAAAACTCACAACATTTAGAAGTTTTATGATCCTCAAATATTTTCAGTTTATTCTCTAGATTCTAATCCTGGAATTAATCGCCTAAACCATCGAAACGAGTGCTCAAAGTTTTTTGTTAAATTAATTTGTTCTGTAGTTACTAGTGGATTGTCCTCCTAGATCGTGGACCGGAAGATATTTACGCGGGAGCACCAGCATTGGTAGACATCAATAGCGACATTGAACTATTCCTGCCCGGAGCATTGTTGCCAAGGTGTGCCGCGCTATTTCATTAGGTGACCGCAAAGTGTTATAGCCACCTCACGACCTCTATGTTCTCCTCCCTTGGTCGGCAAGAAGCAATCTCGTATCCCATTCGTCCTCTGAGGGCCGCCGTGGAGGGCTGGTCAATAGCACCATCGTTGAGCTAGGATACCTTCTTAACAGGAACTTGGCATCAGATGCATGGTTTGGAGGTGGTTGCCATTGGATTGGATGATTACCATTTTGAAAGAAAGGTGGGGAGGGAATCGGCAAGGTGATACTGCTCCAGGGCGCTTCTAACATAGTTACGCCAATCAATAAACAGAAAACATGGCTAGCCAAAAACCATATTAATAAAATTCAATCGGTATATAATTTTAATCATCGAGAATACGTATAATTATCATCTCTTTGGTTCTTAAATTAAAATTTCATGGTTAGAGGGCGTCTTTTAGGGAATAGAGGAGATAAAGGAAAAGAAAAGATTCGAATTAAGAAAGAAAAGGAGCATGGCAAATATTAGATTGTAGGGAATTACGGAAGGTAGTGGTGCACATACATCATTAACTTACCTCCTGAAGGGAGCTTTGTAGCTCAGTGGGTGAGCACTGACTCCCAGACCTAAAGATCTCAGGTTCGAATCCGGCTGATGACTAGTTATTTTAGGAAGCGAGGTGACGGAGTGGGCTAACGCGTGTGGGCACATCACCGAGCATTGCCCGGCAACCTTGATAACCGAAGCTATAATTGCGAGTTCGCGTCCCGCTGCCAAGGGGGTCTTGAGATTATACCCCCGCCCTCACTCCCTGGGGAAAACCCCGTATAGTCTAAAAGGCGAGGACAAAATAAAAAAGAAAAACTTACCTGCTGAAATATTATTAAATCTATAGGCTCCGCGTAATATCTAAATTCAGCAGTCTTGTTAATAAAAGATAAAAAAAAAAAATTACCATTTTTTAGTTATATTATATATTATTATATTAGGCTATATTATTATTATATTAATGATTAAGTATTGTTATTATATTGACTGAACTTAAATCTCAATGGTGTTTGATGCATAATGTTATGTTCACAGGAGGACTTAGCACAAGAGCCAACGTGAAGATACAGCTGACAGACGTGAACGACAACTGGCCAGTGTTCTACCCCAGGGAGTACAACGTTTCTCTTCCTGAAGGTGGTCCCTTAGGTGCGGTACTAGCCGTTGCGGCCACAGACAAGGATTCCGGTGTCTTCGGCAGGCTCACCTACCGCATCACCTCCGGCAACTCAGAAGGCATCTTCCGCATCGATCCGAACAGCGGGGAGATCTCCCTGGCGAGGCAGGTTAGCTCGAGGACCCACCGCCTGACGGTGGGGGCAGTGGACGGTGGCGGCCTTGCGGCGCGGCGGGAGGCAGAGGTCTACCTCTCCGTCGGGGACCCCCGGTCGCCACCCCCGCAATTCCTCAGAACTAGGTACTCCATGTCCGTCAGGGAGGACGTCCCGCTCAGCACTAACGTTGGCAAGGTCTCCGCTTCGCAATTAGGTGAGTGCGAATGTCAGAATTTGTTCATTATTATTTAGATTTATCAGAAGTACAAAGAAGGTTATTATACTTATTAGAAGCCATACCATATTAAGTTTTCTTTTGCCAAGCCGCTGCCCAAAAGAATAATTGCTCAGTATAAACCTTCTTAAAAGAAGTTAGTCGACTGTTCTGTTTATCATGGGTGATAAATAATCAGGACACAGTCTATTTTTTAAAAAAATATATTTTTTTATTTATGCCAACGTTTCAACCCAAACATGTGAGTCATTTTCAGGGCGTGGTTTGAAAAGTGAGGGTATGAGTACTTGAACACCCTCAGTGCTCAAACCAAGCCCTGAAGATGACCCACATGATTGGGTGTAAAAGTTGACATAAATAAAAAATTAAAACTTTTTTTCAAAAAAAGACTGCGTCCTGATTATTTATCTCTCATTATAAACCTTCTTGTTCAACAATAAGGCTATATGAACCTTCTGTTTGTTGGAAGCCTATTTCCGTTTTTTAATTAAAATTATAAACAAGCCATATAACCAGCAACAACAATAATATATTTCTGAAAAATTTTATGTGGCACTTCCAAAATTTAAGTAAAGTTCTTAAAGGATTTTTAATTTAATATTTGATTGCTGACGTTGGTAATGAAAACATGATCCGGTTAGCGATCAAGAATAACACAAAAAAAAAATAGTGTAGAAACCATTTATTGGAAACATGTTTCTCTTTGCAATTTCTTTTCTTTTCTTTTTTCCTTATTGTTTCGTTCTTTTGCTCTGTCATTATCCACAAGCAATTGTTTAGCCAGTTAAAACCAATTAATCCACAAGCATTGTTAACTTTATTTTCTCAGAATATATCAGAATTCGTACGGTTTTTTTTTCTTTTTTCTGAGATTGTTTTTCCTCAAATTTCATGTTTAAATCTAGAGCATTAAAAAAAATGGCGCAGCTGGTTGTTAATGTCATTTCTATATAAAAAAAAAAAAAAAAATTGCTGATCATCAATATTTACCTGGAGTTAATGAAATGTGTACATTCCTACCATTTACTTTTTATCCTTTTTTTTTTTTCATTCAGTTTCAATCATATATCGTAAATTTATTTAATTTTCAAACCGCATTCTAAAAAAAAAAAAATTAGTCGATTTATTCAATAGATTTTAAGACTTATACTCCGAAAGTATTTTAAAAGAATTTTCATGCCTAAAAGTATAACCAGGCAATTTCAGAAAAGTAGTTCATCGTAAATTCCCGATTTACGGAAGATCTATTGAACTTTCTGTGGTATGATTTCCTATCCAGTTTTGTGAGGTAAATGATAAATAAAATGAAAAAAGGTTAAGAGGTAAGTATACCATAGGAGGAGGAGCTGAAACGGTGCCGTAAGTCGTGTGGTAAATATTGAAAACGTGATTACCAGTTGGCCGTATAGAGATGTAGACCACGACCGTGGAGCCACGATCTCCACCGGTTCCAACCTCCAGCATATATCTTTATTTCCTCTGTCACTGTCCTAGCCACTTATGTCTTCTCGGCTTTCCCCATCAAGGATTCTTCCAAAGGATGCTTCTTTTCGGCTTATATTTCCCATGATGTTTTAAATAAACATGTCTTCGATTTTTCCGTTCCTAAATATTTTATGAAATTCTGTTACATAATCAAAATATCACAAAGAAAAAAAAAGTTTGAGTATGAGAATTGATACGCTAACCAATCAATCCGTGATATTTTAATTATTACATGGTAATATTACTGACAGACTTTGAAGGTTATTTATTGATTTGTAAAAATATCCATTTTAATATTGACTGTATTTACCTTTAGAAGAAAAAGTAATCATACAAATTTTTACTGATTCCATCTATCTCCTTTTTCCAAAAAATATAATTTTTCCTGGGTAGTTTTAAAAAATGGTATCTCTTCCGTTGATTTATAATTTATTTATATTATTTTTGGACGACGTTGCCTGGTGCTCGCCCTCTTCTAGGACGATTTTTATCTTGGTAATGTTATCCATTATGTATAAATAATTTTTTTTTTCAAAATCTGTTTCTTTGTAATTTTAATCCAAGAGTAACATTTTTTCATAATTTAAAGTTTTTAATGTACAAAGATACAATTTTTAGTTGATGAAGGTTGCTCAATTTTCAAAGCCACATTGCTTCTAATTATCTAGACACTTTCGATAATAAAAAAGTGTTTTTTTTTTTAATAGATACAGATAATGGACTATATAAGTATATAAAATGATAATAAGCAGTCAGGAAATGACTCTGTAGTTTTTGAATTATGTATGTTTAAATTTTGACGAATAAATGTGGCTCTTTTTTATGGCTGATGTTAAAAAAATCACTTAATATAACTAGCAATTATTCATTTACTAGACAAATGCTTTGAGCTTTCAATTAATTAGAAAATTCCTGTATGCATGACTATGCAAACCTTCGAATTCCTCTCGTATCCAATCCGTATAACCCTTTGTAAAATCCTCAACGCTCCTTACTTTGCCACAAATAAAATCATTTATTTGGATCTTAAACATCCATATGTTTCCTATTTGGCCCAATCCAGATCATTCTTCCATAATTAACTATAGAAGCATCCAAACCTCTCGTTTCTGAACGTGCTTCCTCTTCCATCTCTGATATTCCCTCCGAGGCCTCTGAAAAAATAACCTCATGATTTCCAAATAGAAAGTTTATTAGAGTGTTAAAAATGGTAGGTTTCTTTACAAACCATCTCATGTCATTATATTTCTCTGTTTACATTTACTAGAAGTATTATTATTTTAAAATAGTTGTACATTTCCTGAAAAAAAAATATATTAACAGCCTAATTTTTATTCATTTACTTAAGGATACAAAAGTATGCGAGTTAAGCTGAAACAAATTTATTATGTTATAATTATTGGTTCGCAACTGTAGATAATATAATATAAAAACGGCTACGTACTCGAGACTATCTTTTACAGGTTTTAATATATTCAATTAACTCAATCATAATCAGCTTTAATTAAGATGGTTTAGTCTTATAAAAATGACTTTCTAATCTTTTGCAATAAATTCTAAAGTTAACCATTTATAATGCGGTCGTGTACCGCTGGCTGCCAAGATAATCTGTCTAATGAGGACAATAAACGCTGCTTCATTGACGGAGGTTTCTGCATCTCAATGTTCCTAATTCATTACCTCACATTATTAAAGATATTTTAATTATGAATGTTTGGTTTTTTTAACAATATACTTCCTTTCATATCCGACCACCCTGATTCTTATAAAATTATATAATTTTCTTCTGTATCAGAAGAGAGTATGAGAGCATTTATGTTTGATTTTTTTTTTTTTTTTCCTCTCGCTACAATTCGGCACCTGTAATGCCCTCCTTTGGATCAAACTCTGCATATTGGATTGCTTTCTATGTAGAACAATGTCAAAAAAGTTTTTATGTCCAACGGTTTTTAAAAATCAGAGCTTTTTCAAAATTCCTTAAAAAACTTAAGTTGTTATGTAAATTATTTTAGTATTATGTAATTCTATCTTGGGAATCTAAGTTTTTTTTTTTTCTACTTCCACTATTGTCATTTTTTTTTTCAATTATAAGGGGTGCAAAACATTTTTTTTTTGTTCAATTAAAAAAATTATGAAGCTTACCATTACCATGTTATTTAAAAATTTTATAAAATACATGTAATTTTTCATCAAATGCATACATGTATTATGCTGAATGCATAGAACATGTAAAATTTAACAAATAAGCGGCCCTTATAGAGGGTTACTGTATGAGGGAAGCAGAAGAAAAATAAAAAAAAGGTTGTGAGGATCTCTAAAGCCTCTCAAAATTGATCTTTAATAGTTTACAATTTCTGTGTGAATAGATTTGATGCTAGAAGTCCTATAGGGATCTATAGATTTTTATTATCTTTGAGATTAAGATCTATTCAATTTCTAAAAAAAATTATCATTTTGAAATTTTGAACAATTTCATAAGTTTAACATTAATAAAGCAATGCAACTACTTTTCATCTTTTTCCCAAACAAGACGAGAGGAAAGTATGACGTTAGTGAAATAGCTCCTTATTTCTCTTAAATAATCTATATTAAATACTCTCTCTTCTTGACCATCCATATATACGAATAACCGCAGTTCGGTATTATTGTAAGGAGGACCTCAGGTTCTCTTTGGTAATACCCTAGACAAATAGTATGAGCTAGGATTACACCATGGCTAAGAGAAATTGCGTAACGGAACAGAGCTGCCATCCTTGAGGACAGTATTAGCTTACAGTAGATATTTCTAGGTGACATAGACTTCTTTCCATATATGTTAGTTCCTGTACCAGAACAAACCAGATCGACTTATTCGTTTAATCTACCTCAGTTAGTGTTTCTGTACACTTCTGTTTGTTTTTCTTTACTGGAGTGAATTTTGAAACGCTACGTTATGATTACAAGTATGTTATGATTTTAATGGTATTTAGATACCTTGCATCAATGTAAAATTGACGTTCCATCGCTTAGAGATATTTCCAGTAGTGTATTTGGAATGAATCAATAACCCTATTCCCGCCCATTCTGAGCACCAACAGCTACTCGATTACATTAATTGCTAATCAATGAAGGATCGGATTCCAGCATACCTTCGCTGGATTCGCAGGACGCTCCAGGTACCTGAGGACGCCGAGAGTCCGTCGACCCAACCTTTGTCCTTAATATGTTTTTTCACCGCTAATGGGTTGAACAATATCTCCGATTATCTGATTGTAGCCCGTTCAATAGTCTCCTCTAGTTATTGTGAAGGGTTCCTTTGACATTAATTGTTCCTCAGAAGACAATAACCTCTTTCCTCTCCTTCTTCTTTATCTCGTCTTCACCTCCGTCTCTATCTATGCCATTAATCAATATTTGAATAGTTGTGTCTCTCGTCGTCGCAGCGTGCCGTGTATAAATTGAAAATAGAAAGGTGGAATTCCTCGTGAATGGTGGTTTGATTCTGTCGTATTCCT